CACTTACATCCTCAATTCAAGACAAAATGCACTTATTTTAAGAAAGAAATTACCTATTTAGATTTCAGTTTCTTGCTGTGCAGCAACCTCCAGATCTCTCAGTTCTTAATAACTACATAAACTACTGATAATTGTAGTTTTCCCTTTATGAGACCTGCTTGTATTTCGTTTTTCAGGTTTTGTACAAACATGAAGACCAGACTGTTATGAAGGTTTTGGACAAAACAAAGACCTCATTGAGCCTCCCTCTCCCTAAAGACTATGGCTATGTGGTGCTGCAGATCCGGACTTGCGGCGAGGGTGGAGACGGGCCGCCTCATGAAGTCATCGTTTCCCAGGACTCTGGTAGGAGGATGCAGCTGGATTCCTGGATTGGTGCTTCCTGTTGATTAGTAGGAACCTAAACTCAGATTATTGGATGAAGTAGAATTTATCCACAGGAATGAAGAGATGCTAGAAGAAAGATCGATGTTGAGGATGCTTAAGGGTTATTATTATTATATGCAAATAGAAAATAAAAAAGCTGAGGCCAGATTATGATCCATAATCATAGAAAGCAGAATGAACCAACCCCCCCCCCAACTCTGGCTGCATCTATGAAAATAATCAACACAGTCAGATAAACGTTAATGTTATCGGACTGTGTTGGATAATGTTTGTCATGATTTTAACTAAGATCTGACCCAAAAGCAGGGAACCAATACAGAACGACCTGGGAAAAAGTTTAACAGGTTTATTTAGGAGATTGTGAAGAATCCAGTGTTGCTCTGAACACTTCTCAACCGGAACTGAAAGGTGAGGGGAAGACACAGCGGTTAGTTCAGGTCAGGCTCGGTGGGAAATGTGATTCTCGAACTTGAAGAGGAGGATTTTGTTGCTGACTCACGTTTCCAGAGAAGTTGTTGACTCTTTGACTCCAGTTTGTGTGCGGTAGTTCCAGTGTTTGTCTGTGGAGGGCGGAACAGGTTTTACCCAGAATGCGTTTGTTTCTAGGTGAACAGAGAAGCTGACTGTCACTCAGATTTCCTGCGGTACTTGAACGGGTCGTAGTGGAGATGAATCCCTTCCTCAGTATGAAGCTCAAATAATCTCTTGAGGAAAAGTTGATTCAAAACTCCAGTTTAAATCCTCAACTCAGCTTGAAGCTCAGATGATCCTTCCAGGGAGAGAAGGTCCGAAACATCCAATTTGCAGGATGACTTCCCAAAACTGGCAAACAGTCTTGCGTTGAGGTAGTGGCAGTCAGCAGCTTAAGAGCGCTCCGTTAATGAGGTAACTCTGTGCAGGTGTGTAGGGAGGCGGACCAGAACCAGGCGCCTCCTGGTGGAGGAAGGGAGACAAACACAGACAGGAATCCTGACAATGTTAACGTTTGTCTGACACGTTAGCCCGTCTTCAGCGGCGCTCTCCGCATAGCCTTGTGTGAAGTACCGCTGGCTATTTTGGTGATATTTTTGTTTTATTTAGTAAAATATTCATTTGATTTGTGTTTATCTGACATTGTTCATTATTATTCCCCCAATAAATGAAAAAAGTCTAATTTATTATTATATAGAGACTATTAATAACAGGAGGTGAAATGAAACTCCAGACTAGCTTTGAATGTGATGATGTCATCAGTAGAATCAGATTTATTCTGCGTGCTCCGTTCTTACCTGCGTTCTTCTCAAGAACATACTTGGCGAGAACACGAGTCTGTAATCGCGTTCTGGTGAATTGAAAACGACCAGAGTTTTTGGCGGAATAGAGACAGGAGTGATGTTAGCAAGCCGGGCTAATGTTAAAATGCTGTCAGGAATGAGGTCAAGCAAGGAGAACCAAAATAACGCTCCGTAAAGATCGCATTGTTCAGAGCTTTTCTCCTTTGAACAAAGAACCCATATTAAAAAGAAGAAAAAAACTAAATCTATTCCTAGACTTTCCAGCAGGTTTAGACTGAAGCTAAATACGTGAAACATGGAGGTCCTTCTAACCGGGGCCTGTGCGTCAGGATTTATCGAGTATTTCACGTTCTAAAACAAGTGAACTTTGGCTTCATTTAAAGAGAAAGTCAAACATTAATGTCAGATAAGATTATTATTTTACATGATTTATATTTACAGTTCTTTGACAGGTTAGGATAAGAAAAGAAAAGGTTCTAATCAGAGATTCAAGTTTGAGATATTTAAATTAAGCCTTTTTTATGTTGACAGTCTGCAACAAATGCTCATTTAAAATGAGTGAATTAATATTCAACTGAAATAATAAAATATCGTTGGGTAATTTATTATAAAGTCTGTAAATAATCCTTTATTATTTATCCTAAAGGCGGAGATTCTTTTCGCTCGATCTGAACTGAGCCGATCTTCTGCTTGTTTGCTTTGCAGGAACTGGGATGATGGTGCAGAAAGATGGCGGCTCCACGCTGGACGCATCGCATGCCTGCATCTCGGCTGGCTTGGTTCTGCTCGCTCTCACCTTCCCCTGATCCCCGATGGTCACTGTCGATAAACTCAAGGCTCCAGATGGACTTGGTTTCAGTTAGAATGATTTTTATTTTCTGATAACAACAGTTTAATAACTCACTGCAATAGAGGCTGAGGGGATTACGTGTGATGGGAGCCATCGCCGCTCATGATGAGGCATGATGCTGCGTTCAGACCGCGC